AAAATAATAATTATACGTATTCTTTGCATGCTAATTAAGCTGACAATCGAATCGAATCGCAAGGAAACTCGACTCGCGATTTCGTGGACTTGGAGACTCTGTGCGTTGAACCACAGCCGAGTTTTAAAAAAAACTTTTAAAACGTTACACAAATGATTGGTGGCTATTAGTCACGGTTAAACAGTTTTTTTTAGAAGAGTTTCAAATTGACGATGACAAATGAGAGGCGCTCACGAAGGCAGACAGTCCTAAAATGTCTGGAAACGTGCGCGGGGTGAAGTCGAATGATTGTGCGAGAATCCCTCGCCGAATCGTAATTCTGATTAACGATCCTGCTTCGAGGAGCCTGTTTCACGCTTCTGGCTACCTACTTACATTCCATCGGATCTGTCGTTAAGTTAAGATCGAGCCGAAGGTCAATTGGCTTTCGTAGAGAGCCAAGATGAAAATTCGAAGGCTGTATGAATCTCTCGTTAAATTTAACATTTTCTTTTTTCTCACAATTTCTTCCTGCGTGTCCGATTGAAAAGCCACACTGTTTATCTAATCACCCTAGTTTTGAAACGTAAAATACGAACGTACTGTTTTGTGTGTGTGTGTGTGCGTGTGAAGTGCGCATGAAGACAGAGGTTTCAAGGATAAGATTTGGGTGGGAGTCTCGTCGAATCTCGATTGAAGAAATAAATACGCGACAACTCGACGAACCAAGTAAGAAATTATCGACGTGTTATCAACTGAAAGAGTGGTTCCTGAGTGTATAGGCTAACTAATTATAAGCTTAACTCTAAGTCGAATAGAATGAAGGCACACGTTTGAAGTTTAAAAACTCTTTTTTTATATTTATATTTTTCTTTTTTTTTTTTTTGTTAGTCGCATTTATATAAGTCACTGTCGCAGTTTTCGAGGAATTTTGGGAAATAGTGATAAAAGCGTGCGAGAGAGCTTAATATTTTGTTCGAATATTAAAGAAATAACAACTCACACGTTTGAGAACGTTCGTCCACGTTGGTCAAGGATGATGTTAGGACTTCTTGATGGAAAAGAGTGTCTTTTCTTTTTATAAGGGAGTTGGATGACCAACTACTGGAATTTAAATAACTGTTTGCAGAGCACTTTCGGAAGTCTGTTACTGACTCATTGTCAGTGTTAACACTGAGTTAATATTATCAGGCCTAGTTGGTCATCCAACAATCTCTTTTTCATCGCCATATTCGAACTTATTCAGTTCTTCTTAATTATTTAAATTTTAATAAACTGTTTATTAGAAACCACGTCGGTTTAAATTTTCTTATTTTTTCCCCGCCAATATTTGTACTCGTTTGTGAAATTTTTATGAAAGTTTCTCGCGTAGACCCCTCTCTCTCTCTCTCTTGTTCGTTTATTTAGTTTTGCAAACGCCTCCCAAGATCGCAATATTCGCTCACTGACAATTTTACTTGCTACGCATTCCTCAGCGACAGGTTGCTTTCTCTTTCGCTCAGAGGGAAAACGCATGAAACCCGTGTGAAACGTAAATCGTACGAAATGCGAAAGGAAAGACCTGGAACTGATGTGCAACGATCGGAAAAAACAGAGGAAAGGATAGTTCAAGCGACTGTATCTAACAAATTAAGGAGTTGGTTCTACCCGTGAGACGCCATTTTTTTCCTTTTCCCTTTTTTACGAACAACTTCTTGCACGTATACATACGTTCGTAAATTTCTTCCTTTAAAGAGCAATTTCCCAGAAATTTCCGAGTTAATTGTCAGTTTTTCGTAACTATAAAAACTCCAGTCTTTTTGTCCTTTGTTAAATGTTAAGATTAAGTTTCAGTATTTAAGGAACTTGAAAGAAACAAGCAGACAAAATAGAAGAACGAAAATTTGTTATGTTTCGTTCTTTAAGAAGAAATTATATACCAGAGATCGAATATCGTTATTTGAATTAGTAATAATGTAACCGCTATTGATACCGGCATTTTTCAACACTTGCTACCGACTTGGTGTCAATATTGGTACAAATATACTGAAATTTATACCGGTGTCCTATTCTGGTATTACAAGGAAGAACATAGTACTAAATATATAGTTCTCGTTCAAAAGTCTTGCCTAATCGCGCTGTGATAAATTTCACTTGATTAACGAGACTATTTTATTCCTTATCAACGATGGAGATTCTACTTCGACGATCGCTTGAAACTATTTATTTCGCCTAGCCAATTACATTTGCCTGTTACCACACCATGTTTCTAGAGCATTGAATGTATCTTGTCATCGAAAAACGGGCTGGCGACTGTCTTGACTCGCGTGGCTTTGATCTAGTAAACATACGCTCGAAAATTGTCAAAAGAACGCGAAAGAAAGTACGAGCTAGATCGTAACTCAGCGCTCAGGAATGTACACCGTTGACAAAAATCAGGGGATATTTCAAAATGAATACGAAGCGACAAAGGAAAGAAG